TAATATATGCAACCTTCAAGTAGTGTGTGTAGGATCAAAACAAGATAGCTATTGGCCCTCGACACACTGAAGTAGTCGAGGGATGTGAAGCCTGGAGCTCTTCCAGCTTCAATCACATATATATAGCTTTTACTATGTAACTTCAATCCTTGTCTGCCTATGGCTAACACATCCATAGCCATGAACAACTCGGTCATCGATGGGAAGTATCATAGGTAACTTAACCTAGCTGTATCTTGACGGTGAGCGCCCCCTTTGCGTTCGATACCTCTGTGTTGTTCAAAATACCTATGGTTGCAAAATCCAAATTGACTTTGAAGGTCTCCTTAACCCTAACTCGCGATCGACGAGGCGATGGTATTGTCGACGGTGTGGGAGAGGTAGCGCCGTAGCCACGCGATGCATTGAGCTCCTTGATGGCCTTGAGGTCGTCGTGTTGCTGGTGACTATGTTGGCCCGCCACCGACAATGCCGACGACGAGGGGGATCAAAATATAGCAGTACACGGCGGTGAACATCCCCAAGCCCCGGGCAGCAACGGCGGTGAAATCAACTGGCCCAGGCATGGGCAGGGTTGAAGGCGTAGACAGCAGGTCGAAGCGCAGGCCAATCATGACAAGCACCAGTGTAAGGGACTTCATGATCTAAATGGGATGTATCGTACTCTACCGGTAATTAGTTGCTTGCAGTTGTAGTGGCACTTGCGACTGTGCAGTGCTGGTGCCACCGTTGAGCAGAACTTTGTGTTTTGTGCACCCCACGTGACGGACGACGGAATTTCGTGTTCGTCCAAATTGAAGGGGGGACGTAGGCAGGTTCGTCGATTGAATGTATATGTATATCTATATAACTAACGTTATGGATACTTTGGGTTTGTAGCATTGTGGTGGTTGGCCGTGAGTACATTGTCACATCGATTTCCAAGATCACGCCAGACCAAGAGCTACCAGTTGACAGTTCATTCTCGACACCGGCCATTGGCAACGACACGAAGGAAGGTGCTTTCGTGACGTCGACAACTGGGTCGTACGAACCCTACGACAATGCGACGCTGTGAGGACTATAATATATCGTTTGCGCAGAGTCAGCCCACGTCACATGCAAACGATCGCCCCGACGCGATATTTCTATGGTGGTGTTGGAAAGGGGCTGCACACGTTTCGATTCGTATACATAACGCGAGGTACAGTACAGCCACGATGCGGACTCTCTCGATTTCAATTTTGAGCCACGAGTTTGGAGTTAGACGCGGTCGAAGGAATACTCACGCAACCACCACCACAGCCATCCAATCCACCACCGCCGCCATCGATCCCATCACTCCAGCCACCACCGCCATCTATTCAGCCAACAGTGGTGCCCCCTCTTGTTCCTATCCCTGCCGAACCCTCTGATGTTCCTATCGCTGCCGAGCCCCCTGTCCTTCCTGGCGCTGCTGAGCTTCCAATTGTTCCAGTGGCTGCCGAGCCAGTACATGTCAAGGCAGAAGGCAACCCAACCGTTCCCAAACGTATGAAGCTGGAGCATCAAGGCCTTCCAAGGAACAACATTGCGCTGGTCAGCAACAACCAAGTGGTGGATCTGACAGCTGACGACAGTGCCGACGACAAGGCTGGGGGACCAGTACATGGCTGCAGTAAACCTTTTGTCCCAGGGAAGGTATGCCCATTCGTATTTAGCCGTGGACCCAACAGACCAAGAAGACTGGCATCGCTGGTCGCTACAGCAAGGACAAGTGAAATGAGAACACGCTATCAAGGGAGAATGATACACTTGCAGCTACGACTACTGTGCATTGAGTACTACAAAGTAACACAGCGACGTCACGAACTGCATACTACCGACAGTCGTTTGCAGTTAATAATTCAACGAGGATATATTTCTGGTATATGCATTTTGCCACAGCACCACCTTGATGGGATTATGGTGCCGCCTGTGGAAAGAATGCATATTAGGATGTGTCCATACTGCGATCGACAACAGATATCATTATCATGTATGAAGCCCCGCCATTGGTGGTCCAGAGCATTCGTAGTACAGTAGCTTATAGCCCTAGATAGCCATAGCCACGAACGCAACTAAACCATCGATGGGATGAATGGTAGGTAAGTGGACACTAAATGGCAGAGTGACACTGTGACCGCAGCAAACGCATTGTAGGGCGCCAATTTTATTGGACAAAGTGGCAGTGTGTGTGTGTTTTGTCTCCCGCTTCTTCTTGGCTTTCGGCCACGGGACCTTCGTCAAGGCAGCAAATATACACACTGACATTAGTGAGGTTAAACACGCCACGAGGCGCCTACTGACTAACATTCACTAAAGTACTCAGTACCTCCACTAAGGTATTGGAACCTTTGACACGCCACACACACAGAGTGTGTGTGTTTGCAATGGGTCAAACTAACGCGCGACCCAATTGCTCTGCACGCTGCAGAACACTTCGCCTCCTACGGAAAGTCCAGTGTCTTGATGAGGGCGGCCACGGCAGGGTCTTCCTTGTTCGCCGCCGCCCACTCGCGAAATACGACTGGAATGTCGTCCAGCAAATTCGCCGCAGGTTCCCAGGACGATTCTTCATCGTCAAGTCCAAGCCACATCACCAAAACTTGGTGTTGGCCATCCACACAGCGCGCTTCGTCCAGGCGCTCCACATGAAATCCGCCATCGCCAAACGCGATCTGCGCCTCGAGGTCTTCGGTGACCTCTCTACCACCTTCGTGGTACATCTTCAATCGGCATGCATCATGGACCGTGACTTCATACGGTGGCACCAGCTGCTGAGTCTCCATCACATGGTCTGTGATAACTCTGGTCACTTGGCAGGGTCCGCGCCAATGCAGGGCCAATTTTGTCGCGCGGTTGACGACTGATCCAATGAGCACAATATCGCCGACTGAAAACCCGCAAACTTGACTTGGGACTTTCGGTCGCGGCGTCCACGCGCTTGCTGACGCAACTTGTCGCTTCGCACCGCCACGTTGCGGTGCATTTCTTCTAGCGCCAACTGGAGGTCCATTACATGTTTCTGACGGGCGGCGCCAAGCCAGTCCGCGACGTAAACTTCCTTGGACGTCGGTCCTGCCAGCGAGGTCTTGGCTGGCAGGCCGGTAAACGCTGTCACCGGCGCAATTCCTCCCAGCCGGTCCGCCAGCTGATGGTTAAGGGCGCCTTGAACGAGGGGCAACACATGCGGCCATTCGTCCGCGTTCAGCTTCATTTCGCTGAGCAGCGCCTTCACGGCGCGCAGCACTAGTCGGTTGACTACTTCTACAGTCCCGTTCGCCCAAGGACTGTAGATTGTCGTGATATGATGGTGGGCACCCACCAACTTCCACACCTTCTCGATCACTTCGTTCTTGAAGTGAGAACCGCCATCTGACACCCATGTGTCAACCCAGCCGGACGTAGTAAACCACGTTATCAGGCACTGAGCGGTCGCGGCGGCGTCAGCGGACTCTGCCGCGAACAGCTGCACAAAGCCACTCATGTCGTCCTTCACGACAAGCACTTGTTTTTGGCCAGACTTGGCCATGGGCATCAACAACCAGTCGAAATGGATGAGCTCGTTCGGCTTCTCTGCGTGAAGCGCCGAACCCAATGGACGGGGAACCATTTCTCCGTCAATGCACAGGCAGTGCAAACAGGCACGCACGAACGCTTCGA